AACCTTAAACCGCATAAACACATTTCATTACACCAAATACACAAAATAATGTTCTTTTTAGCAGCATCATGTGACCCCTTTAACTGCTCTCTCTGGGTCAGCAGCAGCGCAAATGCAGATTTGTTACAGTAAGGAGCTGTGGCTGAAATCGCTCACTCATTCACTAATCCCTATATAGTGTATGGCAGTTGAGTGCACTATATCAGAAATTAGCGAACGAAATAAAGTGAACGAATTCGGACACTGATGTATACACTGCGCGTCAGAGAGCGGAAGCAGTCGCAGAAACATCTTCATCATATATGTACATTTATATTATTTTAGAATATAATATTAATAACAATAACACTCATAATGGTTTTATATAGTAGTTATATATAACTCTGTGCCAGCTTTTTGGTTTCAAGGATGGTATTATTAGGCCTAACTTGTTTTAGTAATGCTTATGTTCATAATTAAATACTATTAAAATACTGGCAACAAAAATAAACACATATTACGTATATATTATTTTTAGTGTCTTAAACTCTCCCGAGCAGCATTTTGCGCTCAGATAAGATGACAGTGGTCGTAAAGTGCCCTCAGGCGACCGTTAGTCATTAGAATGAATACGCTACATACAGGTGATTAACAAATACTTTTTTAAATCATCCACCAAATTATCATCACATCTCCATCGTCTCTTGTAGGTTAACAACAACAGTAAATTAGTCAAACATTAAACTGAGTTAATGCCTAAATAATATTTTTTATTTTAATAATGCATGAAATAACCGTTAAAGCAGAAAAAAGAAAGATGTAAACTGCATCTCTCAAAAACTTGCTCTCTCTTCCAGCTCGTCTGTCCTCTCCGCATTGGATTATGGGAAATAGTGCTTCAGCGAGTGTACATCGGTTGTACACGTGAAATCAGAGAGGATTGTGGGTAAAAAGTAGAGAACGAATGTAGGGAATGAACTCGTTCACTCAGAATTCGGACAGCACTACAAAATGGCCGACACCCGATATAGTGCACTATGTAGGGGCTAGGGAGCAGTTTCGGACACAGCTTCTAAGTTGGCTTGAAAAAGCCTAGCCAGAAATTTGAAGTTAAAACCAGCTATTTTAACAAAATAAGCCAGCTAAAACCAATTAATTTAGAAAAACACAGCTAAAGCCAGTTGATTTAACAAAAAATGGCTAAAACCGACAGAAACAGTCATGGCCTAATGACTGGAGAGTCGGACTTGTAACCCAAAGGTTCGAGTCTCGGTACCGGCAGTGATTGTAGGTGAGGGGAGTGAATGAGTGAATAGTGATTTACATTTATTTTTGGTGTTCACTATTTTACCATTACCGTAGTTTATTTATTTTTTTTGGTGATTAACATTTGTGTAACTACACAAATACCATGGTTAAACTATGGTTAGTGTAGCTTGTGATTACCAGGGTTTAACTATGTAGTAACAGAGTTCGTAGATCAGGAAGGAGGCGGGAACCGGCGAACATAAAACTTTAATAAACAAATGAACGAACACAAAAAGAAAGTAAAAGAGGCAGCACCTCACAGACGACTGCCGCATAAAACATAACATCAAATCCAGACCTGGTCCTGTCTCCTCCTTCACTGTCATTACTCCTCCGTGGGACTCCAGACCTGGTCCTCTCTCCTCCTTCACTGTCATTACTCCTCCGTGGGACTCCAGACCTGGTCCTCTCTCCTCCTTCACTGTCATTACTCCTCCGTGGGACTCCAGACCTGGTCCTCTCTCCTCCTTCACTGTCATTACTCCTCCGTGGGACTCCAGACCTGGTCCTCTCTCCTCCTTCACTGTCATTACTCCTCCGTGGGACTCCAGACGCTCATTATCATTTACTCCACCGGCCTCGGAAGCTGTAAGAGTAAGTTAGCCAGCTTACATAACATTTCACAGTTACAGTAATTATGTATTTCGTCAGCTTATTTAGGATAATAATATCGAACAAAGCTAAGGAATTATATGATCAGGATGTTAAAACAAAAACCGCACCTTTCAGAATAGACACTGAAGTGTGTCCCAGCCAGGCTAGTCACTTGTTGCGGTTCCCTTATACATTTCTGATGTGGTCCGTGCGTATTTGTAGCGCGTTTCTGTATTTAATTGTGATGCGAGTCTTTGCAGCACGTTTAATATTTGCAGCGCATTTCTGTATATGAATGAATGAATGAGCCCTTTATTGTCACTGATCACAGGTA